AATTTAAAACAGCATTTTTGTGCACATTAGTTGGCTGGTTAACTTCATTGCTACATTCAAAGAAGTGCAGATTTCAAAAGGATGGCTATGTTTGCTCTTCACATTGTTTTGGAAACTCTGAATTGGGTAGCTTTGCCTTTAAGTATGAACTGAACTGGATTTCTCTTCCTTCTCTACCACCAACCACCACCACCCCTGCCAATCCTTGGGCAAAATCACATTTCCTCTGCTGAACGAAGCAAAGTTCCTCTTCTCACTTCCCTTTTCCATGCAAGCATCCTTTAGCTTTAAAGTAGGGCTTATTGAATCCCCCCCCCCCTTTTTTACCAGCCATCATGCAATGGGGGTTGGCAAATCTATTTCCAGCATTCTGCATTTCTGTAAAAATGATTCATCATGGGTTTTGCCTACTTGTTTTTGACTGCCCTTGCTCTTAACCTTTAACAGAGGCTGGAGAAACAGAAATTCAATGTGGGCCAAGTTCTGGCTATTACTTTAACAACATTTGGGGTAGGTGGGGCATCTTTGCTTGCTAACTTTTTGCATTAGCTGAGCCCTGTCCAACACAGGCAAGCAAGAGGTACTGCAGCAGTTCAAGGGCACAGCTCCAGCCATGCAAAAGGTATTCATGGAGAGTGTAGAATAGGTACAGTGGGAGGTTGCCTGGGAAGTTTCCTGAAGTCCTGGAGGGGTGCATTCAACCCCCAGGCTTGTGGTTCACTGTGCCTAAGTCAAAACTACCTGCATGGTAAAGGTAAAGGTTAAGGGACCCCTGATCATTAGGTCCAGTCGTGACCGACTCTGGGGTTGCAGCGCTCATCTCACTTTACTGGCCGAGGGAGCCAGCATACAGCTTCCAGGTCATGTGGCCAGCATGACTAAGCCGCTTCTGGCGAAAGCAGAGGAGCGCATGGAAACACTGTTTACCTTCCCGCCGGAGCGGTACTTATTTATCTACTTGCACTTTGACATGCTTTTGAACTACTAGGTTGGCAGGAGCTGGGACTGGGCAACGGGAGCTCACCCGTCGCGGGGATTCGAACTGCCGACCTTCTGATCGGCAAGTCCTAGGCTCTGTGGTTTAACCCACAGCATCTGGAAGGCAAAGAGAACATGTATCAAAAATTGGCCTCGCCATAGGAACCTAGGAAGCTACCAGGACAGATGATTTTTCCATATACCCCAGTATTATTTTATTTTTATTCTGACTGGAAGCAGTTCTCCAGGGTCTCAGGTAGAAGACAACCATTCCCATGACGTGCTTTACTACACTGACTTTCCCATGTATATATTATTATTGTTTATTACAGTTCTGGCTGCAATCCTATGCACACTTACTTGGCAGGAAGTCTCTTTGGCCTCGGTGGTATTTACTTTTATGGGCCCCTGCACACTGGGTTTTTTCTCTTTGTTTTTGTTTGCAGCAGGAGTGTGTACTGTAACATGTCTTTGACACAGTAATAGTGCATTCGTCATGGATTAATACTAGACCATCCACACATCAGTTGATATTATTAGTTGTTACATTGATGTTTCCCCAATGTTGTTGCATTATTGCCGTCTATGGGGAGGGGAGTCTTGCACTATAGGGCAACAAAAGCAAGACACGAACTTAAGCCAAACATTAGTGGTTTAACAAATCACTGGATTACAGCAGAAAGTTAGGGGACATGCCCCGACTGGGAATGAACCAGTACGCTAGACCCAAAGGTTTCACAGGCAGAAGCGGTAATGAACGCTGAATCCCATATAACCACCCTGATACACATCATGAATGCAAATAATCACGGTGTCAGGAAGAGCCCTGAGTAAAACTTGATTGCATGTTCCCATACTGGAAGAAAATCTGAACCAAGATCAGGGGTGCCAACTTCAATAAAATATTTTTGGGGGAGGGTGGTAGGTAAGCCCCACCTGGCATAATCAATCAAAAGACACAGCACACGCACACCATTTGAATGGCAATGCCCTTCAACTTGGGGGGGGGACCCCCTCAAATATTTTATTGGAGGGGCCAAAGGGACCTCAGCTTTCCTGGAAGGTGCCCTGGCGATCCTCAAAGGGAAGCACCAAGGTGCGTTCTTCTGAGGATTGCCACAAAATGGGGCGGGGGGCGCCAGCGGCTCCTTGCTTCTTCTCTGTCTCTTTCCTTTCAAAAAACACACAACCAGACATCATCATCGTTGTTGTTGTTGTTGTTGTTGTTGTTGTCTCAGTGAAGACCTTGGAAAATAAATACAACCCAGGTGGTTAAGAAAGCTCAACAGAGACTCCATCTCCTCAGAGTATTGCAGAAGAACGATGTCAATCAACATCTGATGATCTCCTTCTACCGGTCAACAATAGAAAGTGTCCTTTCCTACTGCATCACGGTGTGGTACGCTGGTTTGACATCATCTGATAGGAAGTGCCTACAGAGGGTGGTGAGTATAGCACAAGATATTATGGACCGTCCCGTTAATCTGCTGGATGAAATAGAGGAAGAACGTTGCCTCAGGAGAGTGAGGAAAATTCTCAGGGATGATTCACACCCTGGCCGGCACTTTCTTGATCTCCTGCCCTCAGGCAGAAGATATAGAAACATGATTAGTCGCTCCAACAGGGTAAAGAACAGCTTCTATCCATGCTAGGCTGCTGAATGAAAAGATAACAACAGGGCAACTGACTTTCGGGTTTGGTGGGTGTGCGTCAGTAAACGAGGGGAATTAAGACTAAGAGAGCTGAGTGGGGGGTGCTTGTGTAATCTCACTGTATACAAGTTGTACAAGTGACAATAAAGTATTTCAATTTCAATTATTATACATACAGTAAAAAAATGAACATTAACAACAACAACAACAACAACCAGAACAGAAACACAGTAAAGCAGAGCTTTCCAAACTGTGTGTTGTGACACATTAGTGTGTCAGCTGCAGTGTATAGGTTTGTCACGAGAACTCTGTGCTCCTCCCAGGGCTGGAAAGGGGCTACAATGGTACCTTGGGTTACATACGCATCAGGTTACATACGCTTCAGGTTACAGACTCCGCTAACCCATAAATAGTGCTCCAGGTTAAGAACTTTGCTTCAGGATGAGAACAGAAATCGTGCTCCAGTGGCGCAGCGGCAGCAGGAGGCCCCATTAGCTAAAGTGGTGCTTCAGGTTAAGAACAGTTTCAGGTTAAGAACAGACCTCCAGAACGAATTAAGTACTTAACCCGAGGTACCACTGTAGTTTAATCTCCGGTTTGCTTGTAAAACTGAATTATGGTGTCACGAAATGATGCATGTCTAAAAAGTGTGTCACCAACATGAAAAGTTTGGAAAGCGCTGCAGTAAAGCATAACACAGATCAAGCATAAACCAGCCACAGCAGGAGAGAGAAACCAAAATTAGCATTCAAAGACCTGACCGTAGAGAAGAGCTGTGAAACAAGGGTGCCGCTACAGACAAGGCCCTTCCTTATGTAGTCACCCTCCAGCACATTGTTTGGAAAGAAATTGAGCTTAAAGACGATGGCCTGAAGGTCCAGCCATATCTAATGAGACATTTGCAGAGGAATTATCTTCCACTGAATTCCAGTAAGGAAGAGGCGGGGAATCTTTCTTCAGTTCTAGGGCTGCAGTCCTCATGGCTAACATTCCATGTGTCACCTGCAAAAGGTTGATGGGCCAGAGGCAAAAGTATGTGGGTAGAGCGTGGCCCTCTTTGAAGTCCCACCTCTTGGGAGCTCAGTACCCACTCTTACTACTGTGATTATAATCTGCTTCATTTATAATTTTAAACTGTAAGTTGTTGTAACTCATCCTGGGACCCGCTGGTGAAGGATGAGGAAATAATAATAATAATAATAATAATAATAATAATAATAATAATATGTTTTTCATTTTATTTTATTTTTAAAGTGGCTTTCTTCCTTTGCTGGTTCATCTGTGGTGCTACTTGCTAGAGCAAAGATGGGGTAGGGGGCTATTAAAACCCACCCTGACCAATGCTGCTGCTTTAAAAAAAAATAAATTAAAGTTTTCTTGGTTTACAAAGGTATGCACAATGTCTCTTTTTTCAAGTTACATTTTCCATAGGTCGGTTTCATTTGTTGAGACATTAGGGTTACATTAGGAAGAAAAAAGGGGGGTGGAGGTGGAAGGGGCCATGGTGGGTGAGGGTGGGGCCGGGAGGTGATATTTCTATTTTGCTTAATGTATGTGTGGGTTTTTGTGTCAGTGTCGGTTTTTTGCAGAGTTTTTTTGAGCACACACTCGTGTGTGTGTGTGTGTGTGTGTGTGTGTGTGTGCAGGGTGACAGTGCGGGATTTCTTTGAAGTCCAGAGAAGCCTCTTGGAATCTCTTTTAAGGAAATTGCTTCATGATTTATTGCAGCATTCTGTCCCACAGCTGTTTGGATCCGCAGCCACAACCATGTGTGTTAATAGAGAGCTGACACACACTTCGTGATTCAGGCTCAAGCCTCTCGCTAAAATCACAACATGTAAGAAAAACTGTGGCTTGCAGGGGATCTGATGTGCTGAGTCAGTGCATACAGACTGAACCCAAAGGCACCGTGCAGGCATGCCTCAACAAGTAGGTGTCTCCTTCAGGCCATCCAAGCCCATGGTGGTTGCTATCTTAGGAGAGGCAGCCTCAGTCACAGAGCAGAGAATGCCTCTTCTCAGCACTGTAAGAGACATGCTGAGGCTGCATGCCCATAATATGTAAAGCACATTCCCTCCCACCCACAAGGAATAACGGGAATGGTAGTTTGTTAAGGGTGCTGGGAATTGTAGCTCAATGACACAAACTATTTCCCAGGATTCTCTGGGGGGGGGGGTGTCATGTGCTTCCAATGCATGGTGTGTATGCAGCCCCTACTGATGGCCACTAATTTAGATGGCTTTAAAAGAGGATGAAACAAATGCGTGGAAACTAAGTGCACCCAATATCATAGAATCTTAGGAAAGTAGAGTTGGAAGGGTCCCTGGGGGTCATCTAGTCCAACCCCCTGAATATGCAGGATTATGCAGTTGGCCCATATGGGGATTGAACCTGCAACCTTGGAATTATTAGCACCATACTCTAACCAACTGAGCTATCCAGGTCCCTGGAGTGGTGAGTGAGTGCTGAGTGAAATGCACTCTGTGCTTGCTCAGGGGGCAATTTTGTGGGTTCTCGTTCCGTAAGTTCCATGGCTAAGCCCCTGTAGTGGAAACATCTGAGGAACCCTACTGTAAAAAGCGCTGTAGTAGGAAAATTGTAGATGTTTGAAAAGGGGGGTGAAGCTTTGGTGTTTGTGTCAGCTTTGCCTGTTGTATACATTTGAGTGCTATGTAGAAACAGGCCAAGCAGAACCCCCACTGGTTACAGTCTTCTTTGCAGGCTTTAGTGGTTAGCATGCTGAAATTATGGCAGGGCGAGCTGAGTCACTGGGTGGCTGTGAGCCTGCAGCTTCTTCTTACGCTGCCTCACAAAGTGCTTGTGAAGACAGAAGGTAAGAACAGCCTTGCTATCTTTAGAATAAACTTGGGCAATAAAATTGCAATTAACAACAACAACTAATCTGTCAACCAGGGAGGACACTTTATACATTTAGTCCACTGCAAATCTCCTGCTAGACCAAATCTGCCAGTCCTTAAGGCATGGGTTGGGCACCTGGGGCATGCATATCCCAACTTTTCCCCAAATGAGCTCAATGTGGTGTACATAGTTTGTCCTCTCCTCACTGAATCCTGACAGCAATCTTGTGAGGCTGAATGGCAGTGGGTGATCTAAAGTCACTCCCAATAGGCTTTATGGCAGAGTGGGGATTTGAACTCTGTTTCTCCCAGGTTCTAGCCTGGCACTTCAATACCTGGCTAGGGTGTGTTTAGTTTTTTCAATTTTCACATTCCAAAGAAGGGGGTGCTAAAAAGTTGTGACATGACTTGGAAAAGTTATTTTGGTTAAATTAATATAATTAATTTTGCTTGGTTAAAAAAAAAAAGTGTGCAATGTTGCATAGAAATCATTAAAAACGATTGCCAAGGACTTGCAGCTATATTATATATTAATATATTATTATTATTATTATTATTAATCATTACCTTACATTTTCAGAAGGTAAAATTAAAGTTTTTTTGGTTTTCCAAAAGCCAATGTGCTTCTTCCATCAAACACAGACCTAACAAGCTAAATGTTGTCCAATCACAAAAATAATAGGAGATTTGAATTGCTCACATTTTGCAAATTTGCAAAAATTAAGTTTCACCCGCTAAAATTACGGCCCTTGATACATGGCTCATCCTTCACCCTTGCTCTTCTTTGCTTTAGGGCTCAACAACATCTGGATTACGGCTCCCCCATCCCCCCACTATCTGGCTCTGGGTGTCAGTGGGTATGGGAAAACGCACTCTTTCTGTCCCCTTTGGGCAGTAGCAGAAGGAGCCAGAATACCCGACCTGTTTCCTGCAGCACGGACACCCCTTGTGCCCCCTCTTCCCGCCAGATCCAGCTGTTGCATCAATCTCCTCACTATCACCCGCCTTCAACTCTCCAGCTCAGTCCGGCTGAGCCCATCCTCCGTGGCACGTCACTTCCTTGCAAACTTTCCCGAGAATATGCCCGTGCAAAAGTTGTTTGTCTTCAAAGGCTGGAGGCTGTGGGGCTGTTTCCTCGCCCTCTGACTGCGGGGGGCGGGGGAAGAGAAGGACCTTTCTCTCTCTCACCCCCCTTTCCTTTCCATTCTCGCTTTTCCCCCCTCGGATTTGCATGTCAGGTTTCCTGTGTTTGTCACCAAGAGACGAACGGCTAGTATGGACAGGCTGCCTGGCAAGGGCTGAGCCACCGGGACCGTTAGACTGGCAAGGGGAGGAGGAGAAAAATTAATAGAAGAAGAAGAAGAAGAAGAAGAAGAAGAAGAAGAAGAAGAAGAAGAAGAAGAAGAAGAAGAAGAAGAAGAAGAAGAAGAAGAAGAGATTGCAAGCCGATCAAGTCCTCAACCCCAGCAAGCATCCCGTGCCCGGGGACTTTCTCTACAACCCTCTCTTTTTCTTAGCAACTGCAGCTGCGTCCCCAACGGCTCTCCGTGCCCCAGGAGCGCTTGGCAAGCGCAGCGCAGAGACCCGCCGCTACCGCATTGTTCAGAAGTCATGGCCAGCGACTACACGGCGAGGAGCCTGGACAGCATCGACCTGTCTGCGCTCAGGGTAAGTGCCTATGTCCTGGCTGGGAAGGGAGAGACGAGCTGGAGCGTGGAAGCCATGGGGAGAGACATGGCACAGCTCAGCGGCAGACCTTGCATGCGGAAAGTCCTGGGTGTCTACCCCGCATGGCATCTCTAGGTAGGGGCTTGGAGGGACCCCTTGCCTGAAACCCTTAAGAGCCCGCTGCCTGTCAGTGCGGACACTAATGAACTAGATGGACCCAACGGTCTGAGATTTCTGTGTTCTTAGAGGGCTTACAGCTGGCTCCTTCATAAGCCTCCAGAGGGGGGTGGCGGCAGCAAAAAGATGTCACTTCCCAGATGTCACTTCTGCTCTTCAGGGAGAAGTGGTCTTGCAAGGACCTCTTGGTGTAATCTGGCAGCTCAGCTCTTACAAAGCATGCTTTGGGTTTCTTTGTTGGCGGCATGGCGTTGGATAGAGGCTAGGTTGGGTGAACTTGTTGGAACAAACAAGTTAACCATGACTTAAGACCTCAGTGAGAACTACATGTAACTAACTTAGTCTCAATCCAGTTTGTTGGTATTATCAGTTCTATTTTTCCCTTGGTCTCTTGGTGCCCACATGAAAGGTGCTAGAACTGAGTTCTTGAGAGTTCCGGCTGAATAAAATAAAAATAATTGGGTATTATTATTATTATTATTAGTAGTAGTAGTAGTAGTATTAGGGCTTGAAGAATTTTGCATGCATTGGACTGGATATTAACAGCATAGGCCTATATATAAGTCTACTCCAAAGTAATACCTGTTGAGTTCAGTGGAGCTGACTCCCTGGTGAATGGTTTCTGGACTGCAACCTGTTGCAAGTTGTTGTTATTTATTCAGCTTATCAGTTGCATTACATTAAATTCTCAAAGCAGTCTACAAAATGAAAAAAGTTTTACAGTATACAGGTATATATGTATTAAAGTAATAAAACAATGAAAACAATGCCTCCATAACCTACCCCTCAACATAGACTAGTTCAGCAATGAAATTTATATACAAAGGCCTGGGAGAACCAGAATGTCTTTGCCTGCTGCTAGAAAGATTTTGACATTGGTATCACACAAGCCTTCATTGACAGGGGGTGGGGGTGGGGACCACTGAGAAGTCCCATTTTCTTGTCAAGATTCTCCTAGCAATTTGTGGAGGGAACCACACAGAAACCGGCACAGAGGGAAAGCACAAAGATGACCTCAGGCTCCAAGTTGTACCTAGTTTATATTGAAATCAGTGGGATTTGAGTTAAGACGTAATTGAGTTTCTCTCGGTATGAATTCAGCCCCTCATCTCAGCCTTGGAAAGCAAGGATTCTTGCTCAGGGTCCAGTCACTTGCATCTCCAGTTAAAAGGTCCAGGTGGCAGGAGACTGAACCCTGTACTCTGACAACCTGAACCTCCTTACGCCCTGGCAAGCTGCTGCTACTCAGAGTAGACAATACTGAGTTTGGTGAGCTTATGGTTTGACCCGGTTTAAGGAAGCCATCTTCCTGCCACCTTATTGCAAATGAGCTGTGCATGCTCTGAGAGGGGCTGGATGGACCTGTGCGGAGGCATCTGCAGTTAAGCTGACTGCATGTTTAATATGCTTTTTCTTGAAAAACTTCACTACAGCCCTGAAAGGTAGGGCTCTATGTTTGTGATTATTTCTCATGCTGTATCTGGGATTGAGTAGAGAGTAGGGAGAGGAAACTTGGATAAAGCGTCTGCGATAAACTCAGGCAAAACGAGCTATGAGAATTCTTTGCCCTTTCACATGAACGTTATCTCAGTAATCTGTACAACAGCCCTGAAATGTAACCTGTGTGGTTATCCCAATAGGCAACTGGAGCAGGTGCAGTGTGTAGACTGGGAAATCCAACACGTTGACTTTCTTGGGTGCAGTTAGAGTGCTGGTACATGCCATTGGGCTCTTGACCGGTTTTGGGAACCCAAACAATTGCCCAACCTTGCTCCCTTCTTGAGCCCATTCTGCAGAATCAGGGGGCTGAGGCAACATTAGCATGCCATATCCCATCTGATGTACTAATAGCTGGGGTCAGACATGAATCTGGAGCATTCCAGTTCTCATCATGGCTCAATGCAAATATATTTAATTATATTTTTAATAGCTTTCAGCCATAGATTCTAGAATTCATATGGTCAAAGCAGCTCATGCAGGTGTTGCTTTTCTAATGCTTTCAAGTACAGTATCTTATAAATTAGTACAAAACTTTTATCCTCTTGTCACAGATGTTGGTGGGGGTGGGACTGAGGTTGAGAAGTAGTGACTTGCTGGTAATACATAACAGACGCTTCCGATTGTGCACCCAGGACTCCTTCTCCAGCTCTTGGGGTGCTCCAGAGGCCACACCCAATATCCAGGCTATGGCTCTCACTGCCATGCACCATGCCCACCCCAATTGTTTTTGCTCAACTGGAATATGTCCTGGGACGATGCCACTAGTTTGCCAGGTTGGCGGCTGGAGATGTTTGTGTATATATGGAAGCCTTTGGTGTATGCGTGGCTGGAATGCCACCTACTGTACAAAGGCAAGAGGCACAACTGTTGCTCCTCCTACTTTTGCCTCTAGCACCACTCACTTTTTGCCTAAGCCCCACCACCAGCACTGCTTGCAGGCAAGCCTTTCACCACCTCTTCTCCGAAGCTTTGAACTCTCAAAGTTAAGCAGACTTAGCCAACACATTTTGGTGTGTATGTCTTTAAAAGCTTTGGGCTGCCTCCAGCTAAGTTCCACACCATCTAGACCCTTCAAAATTATGCTATTACTATTTATTGTTTATTCGATTTACATACAACCCTTAATCAAAAGATCCCAGGGCAGTGTACAACATTGAAAACATATTTTGTGGACCATAATAAAAATAAAAAACAGAATGCAAAGCATAATACTAGACAGCATAATAAGAAAATAATCACTATA